CGCAGGTGTGTGTTCCTCACCGGCAGGATGGTCTCTGGCCCAAGGCAGGAGCCACAGAGGCAGGGATTTCTAGAGAGAGCACCAGACACCCTGCCCCTGCCTTCAGCTCACAGACCATTGCCAGATTCTGAACTGTATCCTCATGTCCCTGCAGCCACCGACATCCAGGAGAAGGTTCCATGACAGAGAGAAAGTGGGAGGCAGAATCACTGGGATGGGAACTGGTAGTTCTTCATGGGATGGGTCCTTCAGCTCAGAGAGACAGAATGTCTGAGTCTGGCTGTTGGCAGCTGAGGGACCTCAGGCAGCTACGGCCTCCCCCTGTGTGTTGGGCTCTGCTCATGAAATGAGGACCCAGAAGTGTCCTCCCAGCTGTTTTGATGACTTCCGTCTCCTACAGATGCTGCTGTAATGGACCAAGAGCCTGTGGGAGACAGAACAGTGAACAGGGAGGTAGGTCCTCCTCGCCCCAGCCTCATGGATATAGTCTTATTCCCTACTAGTCCTGAAGAATGTGAGCCCCTCCCTCACTCAACATTTCCGTCTCTGCAGGACTCTGATGGACCAGATCCTCAGGAGGTGACATACGCACAGTTGGATCACCGCGTTTTCACTCAGAGAAAAATCACTCGCCCTTCTCAGAGGCCCAAGAGACCCCCAACAGATACCAGCGTGTACACGGAGCTTCCACAAGCTGAGCCCAGATCATTGTCTCCTGCCCATGAGCACCACAGACAGGCCTTGAGGGGGTCCTCCAGGGAGACAACAGCCCTGTCTCAAACCCAGGTTGCCGGTTCCAATGTACCAGCAGCAGGAATCTGAAGGCGCGAGTCTGCATCTTAGGGCGTCGCTCTTCCTCACACCACGAATCTGAACATGCCTCTCTCTTGCTTGCCAATGTCTAAGGTCCTCACTGCCTGCTGGAAAGAAAACACACTCCTTTGCTTAGCCCACAATTCTCCACTTCCCTTGACCCCTGCCCACCTCTCCAACCTACTGGCTTACTTCCTAGTCCTACTGGAGGCTGCAGTCACACTGAGGAACTCACAATTCCAAACATATGAGAGGCTCCCTCTTAACACAGCACTTGACAGGTGCTGTTCCACCTTCCCTCATGCTGTTCCACCTCCCCCCAGACTATCTTTCAGCCTTCTGTCAGCAGTGAAACTTATAAATTTTTAAAAATAATTTCAATGGAGTTTTCTCTTCTTCAAATAAACATGTCTGCCCTCATCCATTAGGTAATGTGACTCTCTTTTGGCTGAAAGAAACCGGTGTTATCATTACTATGTCCATATAACCCCATCTGTCCTCCACTGGGTTCTCACCCCTGGACTCTGAGCTTCTGGAAGCAGGTGGAGCCTGATTTGTCTCTGGGACTCCAATTTTCATCCACAGATGCAGCTCATAGGAGGTTTCAAGGATCGTGAATCAGATGAACAAGTGATATTCTTACTCTCTGCAGACCTGGAAAGCTGACAGAGCCATTCCAAGATGAAACATCTGTAGAGTCATAGGCCTTGTTAGTCTCATCTCCACGGGGACACATGTCCACACATCATCTTTCATACCATAAATACACAGTCGCTCCTCCAGACCTGTGGGGTTTACAGGTGTTTATTGAACCAACTATAAACCAAAAATATTTTGAGAAAAAAAAATCCCTGAAGTTCCAAAATCAAAAAACCATGTTGAATGAACACAAATGGAGTGGGGTGTGTATGCTGTGTCAGGAATTATAAGTAATCCAGAGATGATTTCATGTATACAGGAGGATGTGCATGGGTTATATGCAATTAGTATGCTTTTTTTTTTTTTTTTTTTTTTTTTGAGACAGAGTCTCACTCTCTCACCCAGGCTGGAGTGCAGTAGCGCAATCTCAGCTCACTGCAACCTCCGCCTCCCAGGTTCTAGCGATTCTTCTGCCTCAGCCTCCCCAGTAGCAAGGATTACAGGCATGTGCCACCATGCACAGATAATTTTTTTTTGTATTTTTAGTAGAGATGAGGTTTCAGTATGTTGGACAGGCTGGTCTCGAACTCCTGACCTAGTGATCCACCCAACTCAGACTCACAGAGTGCTGGGATTACTGGGGTGAGCCACCACGCCCAGCTTCACTGTGCTGTTTCACGCAAGAGGCTTGAGCATCTGCAGATTTTGGTCTCTGAATGGGGATCCTGGAACCAATCACCCAGGAATAGTAAAGGACGACTGTATATAATTCTTATTTGCCAATTTTAAAAATAAAGCATAAAAAATTTACAACAGGAAAATAAAAAATAAGAAGTGTTTTTATAGTGTGAGGATAAGTTTAGATTGATGTTTTCCTACGTGTAACCCTATGGCCCTGTGTTATTTGTTGAGAATTCTATTCCACCTTAAACCACATGGCAGCCTGGGTCAACTGTAAAGGGACTGTGCATCCATGGGTGTACTTTAGACAGTCTTTTCTGCCCAGTGGCTCTCTGTATCCCCTCTGATGAGGATGCTACACTTTATGTAACCTTATAGAACCCCTTAAAATTTGGTAACCTGAGTCCTCTGATTTGTTATTATAGGTTATTTAGTTTGCTTTTTTTTTTTTTTTTTTCCTTGAGACAGACTCTTACTCTGTCACCCAAGCTAGATTTCCGTGGCACAAGCTCAGCTCACTGCAACCTCCGCCTCCCAGGTTCAAGCAATTCTCGTGCCTAGGCCTCTTGAGTAGCTGGCAGTACAGGTGCCCGCCACCAAGCCCCACTAACTTTTGTATTTTTAGCAGAGACAGGGTTGAACCATGTTGGCCAGGCTGGTCTTGAACTGCCGACCTCAAGTGATCCACCCACCTCAGCCTCCCAAAGTGCTGGGGGAAACTTGATTTTCTATCGTATTGTTACTGGATATTCCTGTAAAATTTAAAATGAGAGAGGGAGAGAGACAGAGAGAGAGAGCGAACCAGGGAGGGAGAGAGACAGAGAGAGAGCAAACCACGAGTCTGGAATCTGGAATCTTGGGTCATGAGACAAATTCTAGATAAAACGACAAAATCTAGAATTTACATGTTGTGTTTTTTGCTAATAAAGTAGGATTCTAAGATCATAAATAACTGCATAATCCTTCACTGGGAATTTAAATCATTTTCACTCCTTCTGGTTTAGTACTAGAAATTCAAGAAGGAAAATTAAACTGACTTTTTGTCACAATTACTCTGATAATGTTAATAGTATCTGTTAGATATTTTGCACATTACACATGAAGAAGAGTTTGAATTTCAGATAAAAACAACAAAAGCACATCAAAAGTCTTTAATGTAACCCAGAATTCCATCATCTTGTGTTGGAAAGATTGGATCTGAGACGTGTTTTGAGCTGGTCATAGTGAATGAAGCAAGGTGGCAATTGTAGTCACAACAATTTCCAGGAAGCCATTTTCTGCTCTTGGCTGGAGGCTTGCTGGGCATCATGCAAGGTAGAAAAAGCCTGCATACGTCACCCTCCCATGATGTGGTCAGCACGTCAACTGCATGGGCAGGGCGCCAGATAACATCCTGTGCACTGCTGAGCTGAGCTGGGGCGCGGCCGCCTGTCTGCACCGGCAGCACCATGTCGCTCATGGTCGTTAGCGTGGCGTGTGTTGGTGAGTCCTGGAAGGGAATTCACGGAGGGAGCACTGGGTGGAGATCTGGGCCCAGAGGTGGAGATATGGGCCTAGAGGTGGAGATACGGGTCTAGAGGTGGCGTTACGGGCCTGGAGTGGAGATCTCGGCCTGGAGTGGAGATATGGGCCTAGAGGTGGAGATATGGGTCTAGAGGTGGAGATATGGGTCTAGAGGTGGAGATATGGGTCTAGAGATGGAGTTATGGGCCTGGAGTGGAGATCTGGGCCTGGAGTGGAGATATGGGCCTGGAGTGGAGATATGGGCCTGGAGTGGAGATATGGGCATATGAGCCTGGAGTGGAGATATGGGCCAAGAGTGGAGATTTGGGCATGGAGTGGAGACATGGGCCTGGGGTGGAGATATGAGCCTGGAGTGGAGATATGAGCCTGGAGTGGAGATATGAGCCTGGAGTGGAGATATGGGCCAGGAGTGGAGATTTGGGCCTGGAGTGACAACGTGCGCCTGGGGTGGAGATATGGGCCTGGAGTGACAACGTGGGCCTGGAGTGGAGATATGGGCCTGGAGTGACAACGTGGGCCTGGAGTGGAGATATGGGCCTGGGGTGGAGATATGGGCCTGGGATGGAAATATGGGCCTAGAGCGGAGATATGGGCCTGGAGTGGAGATCTGGGCCTGGAGGCTGGGTCTCTGCACAGCTGAGAGCCCTGTTCTTGGGGGCAGGTAGGCAGTGAGTGTGAGTTTACCTTCAGCCCAGGAAAAGCCTGGCTGCCAAGACTCACAGCCCAGTGGGGGCAGCAAGGGAGGCCTGGTTTTCCTGCAGATAGATCGTCCATCATGATCTTTCTTTCCAGGGTTCTTCTTGCTGCAGAGGGCCTGGCCACACGAGGGTGAGTCCTTCCCCAAACGTTAGGGTGTCCTCTCTCCATGTAAGAGGATTTTCCTGAAACAGGAGGGAAGTCCTGTCCAGGAGTCTCTCATCAATTAGGAAGAGGGGACGCTCGGATACTCAGCCCACAGTTCTGACCTCGCCCTCCCCAGCCTTTCTTTCCCTTGGCAGAGTCAAGTTCTGTGGGGACCAGGGTAAGACTGGGGTGCTCAAAGCTGGGGTGTGGAGGGGGGAAGTGCTAGGAACAGCAGGTCCTCTGAGGACATAGGTGTGACTCACACACTTGAGTGTTTCCATGACGGTAGGGCCTGCAGTGTGGCTGCTGTCATTCTACCAGAAGAGGTGGGGAAACCACAGCCATGGCCCTGACATTCCAAATCCGCTGATGGGGGCTCAGTTGTTTATTTTCGTTCAGGCATCGGCTGGTATTCCATTCACAAAGGACATGCCCTCCACCCCATGTCTACCTTGTGTTGTTTTATGTGAGTCATCTTGCAGTATTAAAATCTAGGAGTCGCTTACTCAGCACTTGCTCAAAGTTCTCAGCTAACACTTTGTCGCAGGGAGACACCATGTCTTTGCGGAATGGGTCCTTCCTCTAGCCCTGGGCACCCAGGTGAGGTAGGAGCCATAGAAACGTGGAAAGCGAGGAGAATCTTCTGAGCACACGGAGGGTGGGGCGGCTCCTCCTCTCTAAGGCGGCGCCTCCTTCTCCCCAAGGTGGTCAGGACAAGCCCTTGCTGTCGGCCTGGCCCAGCCCTGTGATGTCTCCAGGACGTGACTCTTTGGTGTCGCTCTTATCTTGGGTTTAACAGATTCTGTCTGTACAAGGAAGATGGGGTGCCTGTCCCTGAGCCCTACAACAGAATATTCTGGAACAGCTTCCTCATGGGCACTTTGATCCCACACACGCAGGGACCTACAGATGTCCGGGTTCACACCCACACTCCCCCAATGGGTGGTCGCCTCCCAGCAACCCCCTGGTGATCACGGTCACAGGTCAGAGGGCTCCTGTCTGGGCTTCTCCTTGTCCCACCTCCTGAATCCCAGAGCTTCTGCTGGGGGTGTCCGTCAGGATTTGGTCACCCAGGCCCTGACTTTATTTGGGGTAAAGGGGGATTGAATACGTGGAAATGGGTGCTGTGGTGGGAAGAATAACTGTCCCCAATATGGCTACATTCTAATCCCTGGAGCCTGTGACTCTTTATGCTATAGGGCAGGGGACTGAAGGGGAAGACGGAGCTCTGGTTGTTGATGAGTTGACCTTGAGATGGGGAGACGGCCTGGACTGTCCCGCTGGGCTCAGTGGAATCACAAGGGACCACACGAGAGGAGAAGGATGAGGGGAGTGGGGATTAGAGCAGCGTCGTGGGAGACTCCATCCGCTTTGAAGGTGCAGGAAGCCCATGGGCCACCAATGCAGGTGACCTATAGAGTCTGGAAAAGTTAAGGAACTGATTCTCCCAAGTCTCCAGAGGGAACGCAGCCCTGCAGATGCCTTGATTTTAGCCCAGGAAAAACAGGGTCCAATTTCTGTCTCCAGAAGTGGAAGGGGTCAGTGTGTTCTCTCCTGCTGCCTTGCTTCTGATAATTTTCTACAGCGGCAACAGGAAACCAACACTGGAATCCAGGTCATGGATAAGTTAAGAAACGGCCCAAGGATAGCCAGGCGTGGTCGCAGGCGCATGTAATCCTAGCGACTCGGGAGGCTGAGGCAGGAGAATCGCTTAAACCCAGGAAGCAGAGGTTACAGTAAGCTGAGACCACACCACTTCACTCCAGCCTGGGCGAAGGAGTGAGACTCTGTCTCCAAAATTAATTAATTAATTAAAGAAGCCAAACAAGGAAAAGGTTGGCAACCCCGAGATCAGCAAGGGCGGGACGCTGATGCCACCGCCAGGTTCGATCCACAAAGGGAGGGGCTGATAGTCCTCGAACCAGCACCAGGAACCACCCTATGGAAGCTGGCACCATGGAGAAGGCACAGGCATGGCAGGAGAGGCTCCCAATCCCCACCAGGAACAGGGAGTGTGGACACTGGTGCCTGCCTTACTGATCAGTTCATATGTCCTGCCAGGGACTCCAATGTGTCTGAAAGAGATTGAACCAGGCTGCTAAGAGCCTGGACATGCAGCCTGTCCTGGTTCCTCTTCCACCCCCACGTAGACAGCCGGAAAGAGATGGAGTGCGAAATAGATACAGCAGCCCAAGAGATGAGGCTGAGCCCAGTGGGAAGGGAATCAGGGGCTACTAGAGACAGAGAGACAGAGAAGAGGGTGGGAGACAGATGGAAGGACCTGAAACAGGAGTTAAGGGCACAGAAAAGAACATGGAGACACAGAGAGGAAGGAGAGAGACAGACACCAGGGGAGGGAAGCCTCACTCATTCCGGATCCTGTGGATGAGATGAAAAAGAGAGATGCCTTCTAAACTCACAACCTCTCTTCCTAGGAGTCCACAGAAAACCTTTCCTCCTGGCCCTCCCAGGTCCGCTGGTGAAATCAGGAGAGACGGTCACCCTGCAGTGCTGGTCAGATATCAAGTTTGAGCACTTCCTTCTGCACCGAGTGGGGAAGTTTGAGGAGCCCTTGCATCTCATCGGAGAGCTCCATGACGGGGGCTCCAAGGCCAATGTCTCCATCAGTCCAGTGACACCTGCCCTGGCAGGGACCTACCAATGCTACGGTTCTTTTACTCACTCCCCCTATGAATGGTCAGCTCCCAGTGACCCCCTGGACATCGTGATCACAGGTGAGAGTGTCCGGACATTCTTCTCATTGTCACTGGGACACAGAGTGAATGATCCAGGACTTGGAAGCCCCAGGTGGTCATGAGGAAGATGAGTGTGGGATTCTTATGGAGAGAGACTCACTCGGGGAGGTCTGTACCAACAGAGACAGAGAAACAGGAGACACAAGCACAGACCAGGTGTCGTAACAGAGGACAGACACAGGGGCCATACAGGGAGGTAGAAAAGACAGAAAGAGTTAAAGGGGACACCCAGACACAGACATGTCCCAGAGAGAGGTGTCCTTCCGTGTTGACTTTGTTCAGAGACCTGGCACAGGTGAGAAGTTTCATTTCTGTTTTACCTCCACAATGTGTTTCTACCAGGGGAACCCAAAGACACCCACATTTCTGACCTGAGTTGGCCCCTGTGGCCTCAGGCCTTGTGGCACCTACAGATGCCGTGTTGATTCTGACACCTCTGCCTTGTGTGCAGTGGAGAGTCATCATTCCAGGATATCATGGCCCCAGAACATCAACCCCTGTGTGCTGTGTGAACTTGGGGTCCCCGCACTGGATTCTGAGGCTCATATTCCACATAACCCCACATATGATAGGATTGCTGAGAGATATAGAGAGAAATCAGGGACATCAAAAAGCAAAGGTGTAAACACACACAGAATGAGCCAGTAGAAGGGGACTGAGAGACTCACAGACACATAAAGAGAAAAGAGGGCAGAGAAGTGGAGAGAATGATGGAAGGGAGCAGAGAAAAGCTCCAAAATTAGAGTCCTGAGGGAGAGGCCCAAGGACAGAGAAAGGGAGATGTGCGGATGAATTACAGAGATTCCAAAGAGAACTAGAGAGACCAAGAGGCAGAGAAAGACAGACGATAGATGGATAGATAGATATAGATAGATGATAAATAGTTAGGTGATAGATAATAGATAGGTTATAGATACATAGATGATGATTGCTTGTTTCATTGATTAATAGATGATACATAGAGATGATGATGAAGAAGATAGATAAATAGATGATACATGGAGAGAGATAGAGAGGCAGACAGAGAGAGAAATCAGAGAGAGAGAGAGATGATACATAGATATAGATAATAGATGATTGACGGATAGATAGACAATTGATAGATAAATAGATGATACATAGATATAGATGACAGATAATTTATAGATAGACACTGAATAGATCAATAGATAACATATAGAAATATGCAGAAAGTTATGAACAGGACACAAAGTGAGAAACTTAGAATTAATAAAAAGCAGCATCAAGTGAACAAATCCAAGGAGGGTCAGAGAGAAGAAAACAATACAAAAAGGGAAAACACACCTCGGGCTGGGGAAGTGAGGTCAGAGACCTAGAGAGACAGAGAAAGTGGAAGGAGGAAACAGACATGAAGAGAGACGGGGTGGAGGGTGACAGAGAGCATTAGGCCATAGAGCAGGGCAGGGAGTTCTCAGCTCAGGTGTGAGGGGAGCTGTGACAAGGAAGAACCTCCCTGAGGAAACTGCCTCTTCTCCTTCCAGGTCTATATAGGAAACCTTCTCTCTCAGCCCAGCCGGGCCCCACAGTTCAGGCAGGAGAGAACGTGACCTTGTCCTGCAGTTCCCAGAGCTCGTTTGACATGTACCATCTATCCAGGGAGGGGGAGGCCCGTGAACTTAGGCTCCCTGCAGTGCCCAGTGTCCATGGAACGTTCCAGGCCGACTTCCCTCTGGGCCCTGCGACCCATGGAGGGACCTACAGATGCTTCGGCTCTTTCCGTGCCCCATCCTTCGAGTGGTCAGACCTGAGTGACCCACTGCCCGTTTCTGTCACAGCTGAGGAAAGCCCATGCCTGTCCCGTGTCTTATGACCCTAGAGCCATAGCTGGGGAGCTTCCTGCTGATGGTGGAGAGAAGCATGGACAGATGCAGAGAGAAGACGAAGCCTGGGTGTGAGGGGGGAATGAGGGCACAGCATGGCAGAGAGGGCACCTCCAAACCCTCCTGCATGGCCTGCGTGGTGGTCCGCGGTCAGGGCTCCAGGCACCCAGGCAGATGGAGAAACTGGTCAGGACAGACCCAGAGGAGGGAGACTGGGCTCAGTTTCGGGAGATCAGAGGTTCCCTCAGCCCCTCAACCTTACCCATTTCCCAGAAGCCCACCCTGGCCTCTCACCCACAGAGAGATGTCATCACTAACAACCCCTAGGACCGTTTCCTCTTTGTTTGAAAAATTATTTATTGAGGTTAAATACACCTACATAGTTTACCACTTTTAACATTTTTTTTTTTTTGAGGTGAAGTCAAGCTCTGTCCCCTATGCTGGAGTACAGTGGCGCAATCTCGGCTCACTGCAACCTCCGCCTCCTGGGTTCAAGCAATTCTCCTGCCTCAGCCACCTGAGTAGCTGGTACTACAGGTGTGCACCACCAGGCCAGGCTAATTTTTGTATTTTTAGTAGAGACAGGGTTTCACCATATTGGTCGGGTTGGTCTCGAACTCCTGACCTCGTGACCTGCCCACCTCGGCCTCCCGAAGTGCTGGGATTATAGGTGTGAGCCACCACGCCCAGCCACCTTTACCATTTTTAAGTGTAAAGTCAAGTGGTCATAAATACATTTATATATTTATGTGTGTGTGTGTGTATACATATATGTGTATATATATGTGTGTGTGTATATGTGTATATATATGTGTGTACATATATATATATTTTTTTAACCCTCCTCCCTTTTCTTCCTGGCCTCTGGTAGCCACCATTCTACTCTCTACCTTCATGAGATCACCTTTTAGCTCCCGCCTATGGGTGAGAAATGGGAATCTTTGTAATGAGCTCCAGTTCCATCCCTGTGGCTGCAAATGTCAGGGTGTTATTGTCTCTATGGATGAGTAGTCTCCACTGTGTGTATGTACTACATTCTCTCTATCCATTCACCCACTGATGGGCAGGTAGGTTGTCTCCACAACCTTGGCTACTGTGAACAGTGCTGGACCAATCATACGAGCGCAGATATCACTTCGATATACTGATTTCCTTTCCTTTGGATATAAACCCAGTAGTGAAATTGCTAGATACTATGAAAGTTCTCTTTTTAGTTTTTCTTTTGTTGTTTTGATTTTGGTTTTTGAGACAGTTTCCCTCTGTGCCCAGGCTGGAGTTCAAGTGATGTGATCTTGCCTCATTGCAACCTCCACCTCCTGGGTTCAAACGATTTTCCTGCCTCAGCCTCCCTAGTAGCTGGGATTACAGGTGCATGCCACCATGCCTGGCTACTTTTTGTACTTTTTAGTACAGATGGGGTTTCCCCATGTTGGCCAGGCTGCTTTCAAACTCAAGACCTCAAGTGAGACGCCTGCCTCAGTCTCGCAAAGTGCTGGGATTACAGGTGGGAGCCACTGTGCCCAATCTCTTTTTAGTTATTTAAAGGACTTCCATACTTTTCTCCATAATGGCTGTACTAATTTACACTCCTACCAACAGGGTACCAGGGTTCTCCTTTCTCTACCACCTTGCCAGCATTTGTTTTGCCTGTCTTGCAGCTAAAAGCCATTTTATTTTATTTTATTTTATTTTATGTATTTTGAGATGGAGTTTTGCTCTTGTCACCCAGGCTGGAGTGCAGTGGCGCGATCTCGGCTCACCACAACCTCCACCTCCCGGGTTCAAGTGATTCTTCTGCCTCAGCCTCTCGAATAGCTGGGATTACAGGAATGCGCCACCACGCCCAGCTAATTTTTGCATTTTTAGTAGAAACAGTGTTTCTCCACGTGGGTCAGGCTGGTCTCAAACTCCCGATCTCAGGTGATTCGCCCACCTCAGGCTCTCAAAGTGCTAGGATGATAGATGTGAGCCACCACGCCCAGCCTAAAAGCCATTTTAATGGGGTAAGATGACAACTCACTTTGATTTTAATTTGCATTTTTCTAATGATAAGTGATACTGAGCACTTTTTCATATGCGGGGAAATTTCAGGTCTTTTGCTCCTTTTTAATTAAATCATTTGTTTTATTGAGTTGTTTAAGCTTCTTATATGTCTAGTTATTAATCCCGTCTCAGATGCATAGTTTGCACATATTTGCTCCCAATCTGTGGGTTGTCTCTTCACTTTGTTGGTTAATGTTCAGCGGTGCAGAAGCTGCTTAGTTTGATGTAATCCCAATGGTCTATTTTTTGCTTTAATTACTTGTGCTTTTAAGGTTTTAAACAAAATGTCTTTCCTTAGACAAATGTCCTGGAGCATTTCCCCAAGACTTTCTTCTACGTGTTTCATAGGTTCAGCCTTAAACTCACATCTTTAATCCATTTTCATTTGATTTTTGTGTATGGTGAGAGGTAGAGGTGCAGTTTCATTCCTCTGCATGTAGATGTCCAGTTTTCCCTGCACAGTTTACTAAAAAGTCTGTCCTTTCCTGATTGTAAGTTCTTGGCACCTTTGTCAAAGTCCATCGGATGGGCTGGGCACAGTGGTTCACACCTGCAATTCCAGCACTTTGGGAGGCCGAGGCAGGTGGATCACCTGAGGCCAGGAGTTCAAGATCAGCCTGGCCAACATGGTGAAACATCGTCTGTACTAAGAATACAAAAATTAGCTGAGCATGGTGGTCAGTGCCTGTAATACCACTACTCAGGAGTTTGAGGCAAAAGAACTGATTGAACCCAGGAGGCTGAGTTTGCAGTGAACCGAGATTGCACCTCTGCACTCCAGCCTGGGTGACAGAGCGAGATTCCATCTCAAAAGAAAAAAAAAAAAAAAAAAAAAACCATTGGATGTAAATGCATGGATTATATCTGTGTTCTTCATTCTGCTCCGTTGTTCTATGTGCCTTTCTTTATGCCAATGCCATGCTGTTTTGCTTACTACAGCTCAGTAACATATTTTTAGATCAGGTAGAGTGACGCTCCTGTTTTCTTTTTATACCTTGAACTCTCAAGACAGTGGGCATCACATACAAACATTATGGAGAAAAGGATCCCAGGATTCCCAGGGCCCAATATTAAATAACAGAGTGTTGGCCATGAACCAACCTCAAAGATTTCCATTGAGTAGAGGACAGGCAGCCTCATTTCCTCACCTCTCTCCTTTCTTGTGTTCTAGGGAACCCTTCAAATGGTTGGCCTTCACCCACTGAGCCAAGTTCCAAAACTGGTGAGTACAGAACCCTCTTATATCTGCTTTTGGAAACCTGGGGAGATGGAAGCCTTGGATTCAGGCGTTGACTCAGCATCTCACAGCTCTGACATTGTGCGCCTGTCTTCCACCATCTCTGAACTCCAGATATTCCAACAGTGAAAGGGATCTGGGCCCAACACAGGGCTCAGTGAAATCTCTTAATCTCTGATTTTATGGAGATGAGACCTCCTACAAGCTAGAAGAATGACTGCCAATCTGACATCCTTCTCAGGAAAAATGCAGTGCTTGTTCTCCCTGCATTCCTAACTGGAGGATAAATTCCTGGGGGCTTGACAGAGGGAAGGGAAGGGAACATCTGATGAGGGCGAGGGGTTTTAGAGAAGTTCCACTTGCCAAGGAATGAGCTCCTGTTGGTCATGAAGCAACCCTGGCTGACTCAGCAGAGAAAGAGCCTTGAGTAACAGAGAACAGAGCTCATGCACGCACACTTCGACTCACTGACTCATTCAGCCATGGCCCCATGCTCAGGCTGTGCAGTTGGAATCCTTTCCTACTGTTGCCATAACAAATTTCCACAAGATTCGTGGGTGAAAACAAAACGGTTTTTTAATTATCTTACAGTGCTGTAGCTCAAAGGATGAAATGCATCTCACTGGGCTAAAATCGGGTGACACTAAGGATGCCTTCCCTCTGAAGGTTCCAGGCAAGAATTTGCTTCTCACTTGTCCCAGCTTCTAAAGGCTCCCACATTCCTTGGCTCCTGGTGCCCTTCCTCCTTCCTCAAAACCCGCAAAGACTGGTCACATCTCACATGGCATTACTCAGACCCTTCTTCCTTACCACACTTCTTTCTCTGAATGCTGCTCTCCCTTCTTCTTCATCTTTGGAAAACTTGTGGATTCTATTGGGTTCACCAAGATGAAAATCCATCATAATCTCCCTGAAATCATCCAGGATACCCTTGTCTTAAGTTCAGCTGATTAGCAACCGTAACTCCGTCTGCAATCGTCATTCCTCCTTTCCGTGTAAAATAACGTATTCACAAGCTATGGAGGCTAGGACAGGGACATTTTGGAGTGGGACAGCATTCTCCTGCCTTCCACAAACAGGAAACAAGATGCATTTGACCTCTGCTCTTGGGACACTGATATTGCAGATGGTTAAATGGGAGGGCAGAATGCACAAGTGGACCAATAAATGAATGATCCATTGGGAAGCATCTGTGCAAGAAATCTATTTGCTTGTTCGTTTGTTTATCGAGACAGAGTCTCCCTCTGTCTTCCAGGCTACAGTGCAGTGGCACGATCTCTGCTCACTGCAACCTGTGCCTCCTGGATTAAAGTGATCCTCCTGCCTCAGCCTCTCGAGTAGCTGGGATTACAGGCAACCACTACCACGCCCGGCTAATTCTTTCTGTATATTTTATGTAGAGAAGATGTTTCACCATGTTGGCCAAGCTTGTCTGAAACTCCCAACCTCAAGTGATCTGACCGTCTCAACCTCCCAAAGTACTGGGATTACAGGTGTGAGCCACTGTGACCAGCCAGAATTTAAAATAAATAATAGATAATGCTGAGTGTATAATTTTGGGTGACAGAGAAGGTCTCACTAATCGGATATTTGTGACATTAATGAAAAAAATGGATTGAATCCCTGAAAGACTGGCGGAAGGATTTTCCACACACAGCTGTCAGCCTTGAAGGCACAAAGGTGAAAACAATCTTATGTGGAAGGAAGAGGCTCTGCCTGAAACGCTGGGAATGGGATGGGGAGAATTACAAGACCACTGGAGAGAGAGGAGAGCACACTGGGTACACAGGAAACTAAGGAGGAACAAGGAGTGTGTGTTTTATACTCACAGCCATTGGATTCACCTCAGGGTAACTAGGAATCCCTACATGATTAATAGTGACTGACATGAACATAAGGGAGGCCCAGGTGCGTAACTGGAATCTAGGAGACCGTGGAAAAGGCAATTCCCGCCCCACTGGTGAAACGTGGCGCTGATTTAGACACTAAATGAATGAAGGACATGGATGCAGGATATGTTTGTGAGGTAGAATCATTTGCAGGGAGGACTCACTGGGTTTGATTTTCCTAGTTGTTTAATCCTTGCTTAATTAAATTCTTTCTGAGATTTGTTCCTCGTGCACATAAATCAATACCTGGCAGAGGAGTGACAGATAGATGAGGGGTGGTGGAAATGAAGGGACCTAATTACAACATAATATACAAGGCTGTGAACGGTTGCTCATGCCTCTAACCCAGCACTGCAGGAGGCCAAGGCAGGTGGATTCCATGAAGTCAGGAGTTCAAGACCAGCCTGGCCAACATGGTGAAACCCTATCTCTAATAAAAATACAAATATTAGCTGAGCATGGTGGTGCATGCCTGTAATCCCAGCTCCTACTCTGGAGGAGGAAGTAGGAGAATGACTTCAACCCAGGAGGTGGAGGTTGCAGTGAGTCGAGATCACATCACTGCACTCCAACCTGGGTGACTCAAGGAGACTCCGTCTCAAAGAATAAAAATAAGACATGCATAAATATAATGTAACACACATGAATGACAATGGCACCTGGATTACCATCATCATTTTTCTATTTCTCTATAATTACTTCTTTGATCCTTTATCTTATCTATTAGGCAATCAGCCTAAAACCTCTTCCCCATTTGCTTTCTGTGAGCGTGAGATCATATAGAAAATATGAAAGCTCCCTGAAGCCACCAGCACAGGTCCTGGAATAGAGGAAGTGCTCTGCTCATCGCAAAATGCTGGCCCCCTCACCCAAATCCCCCACCTCACCCCTACTTCCAATCACCTGTGGAGATTCAGATAGACCATGGGGAGGTAAACACTAATACTACTTGCAGTGAGTTCAGATCTTGGAATCAGAGATCAGCACCAGCACTAGCTCCTGGTCCCCTTTCCTACCAATCCACGGAAGGACAGGTTGTATTGAAACAATAGATGGTGGAGGGCATTGTCCTTCCCCCAGCCTCTCGTGTAGAACAGCAACCTAAAATATGACTCCCAAGATCACAAAAGTAGCATGTTTCCAACGGGCTTCAACGCTATTTCCTGGCTGTTTGACGTAAGAGAATTCTGCTTCGTGTTTTTGATCTTGATTTCACTTTTCTTTCCTTTTCTTGGATAATGTAAGTTGTTTGAGTCAGGAGTGCTGTGCATGTAGAAATCCTAAAGCACATTCACTGTGCATGAATCCCAGTTCAGTCTTCCCAGAGAAGACTCTTAACACCTCCTGTACTGCACCTGGGGCTATGCCAATTCCTATCACTCACCGTCACTCCAGGGAGATAGAACACACAGAGAATACGTGACATAAGCAGGTTCATTACTAACACAAAAGCAGCAAGTGACAACTGAAGTGTATATTTCAATGTGAGCCAGTCCCCCAAGGCTCAGAAAAGCTGCTCAGGACATATAGAATCACCCCATATGCAGTGTATCTAGGGGAACCCGAAAATCAGCCCAGCCTGGATTTTGTACCCTGGAGCCACAGGAAGCACTGAGCTAAAGCACTGCATGACGTCCTCCTCTAGGAAGAACAGGAAGACAGCCCAGGCTGTTCTGGGACGTTTCTCCTGATCTCACGATGCTAATGTCTTAGTCCATTTTTGTTGCTATAGAAGAACACTTGAGCCTGGGTAACTTCTAAAGATAAGCGATTTATTTGCCTCACAGTTCTGCAGGCTGTACTAGAAGAATGGCACCAGCATCTATTTCTTGTAATGACCTCAGGCTGCTCCCACTCTGGCAGAAGGGAAGGAGGGTCTGTGTGTGCAGAGACCACAGAGATCACACGGCAGGAGAGGGAGCAAGGGGAAGGGGCGCAATGGAGTTTCCAAGCTCTGTTTAAAAACCAGTTCTACAGGAACTAATAGAGGGAGAACTTGCTAACCCCGTCGTATGGGACGGCATTAATCTATGCATGATGGATCCACCTCCATGACCCAAATACGTCCCAATAGCCCCAACCTCCCACATGGGGGTTAAATTTCAATGTGCTGTTTGAAGGGGTCAAACATCTAAACTAAAGCAGTTGTATATTCAGCACATTCTATGGTTACTATGAGAGCTATAACTGAGAAAGCAGGAGAAAGCTGAGTCTCCCACCATGTGGGTGCATGTCCTAAAGAGACGTTGTATATGGTTACCTGACCATCAAGAAATGCGAGACAATCCATAGAGAGGAACTGCTGTGATTAGCTTCTTGTTGGTGCCTCGTCTTCCTCCAGGTATCCCCAGACACCTGCATGTTCTGATTGGGACCTCAGTGGTCATGATCCTCTTCACCATCCTCTTCTTCTTTCTCCTGCATCGCTGGTGCTCCAATGAAAAGGGTAAGTCTCACGAAGCAGAGGCCACAGACCTCAGGGCCGAGTGGGGAAGCAGGATGGGAGCACACAGGTGTGTGTTCCTCACCGGCAGGATGGTCTCTGGCCCAAGGCAGGAGCCACAGAAGCAGAGCTTTCTAGAGAGAGCACCAGACACCCTGTCCCTGCCTTCAGCTCACAGACCATTGCCTGATTCTCAACTGTATCCTCATGTCCCTGCAGCCACTGACATCCAGGAGAAGGTTCCATGACAGGCAGAAAGTGGGAGACAGAATCAATGGGATGGAAATTGAGAGCTATTTATGGGATGGGTCCTTGAACTAAGAGAGACAGAATGTCTGAGTCTGGCTGTTGACAGCTGAGGGACCTCAGGCACCTACGGCCTCCCCTGTGTGTTGGAGTCTGAACATGAAACGAGGACCCAGAAATGCCCTCTCAGCTGTTTTGATGACTTTTGTCTCCTACAGATGCTGCTGTAATGGACCAAGAGCCTGCAGTGGAAAGAACAGTGAATCCGGAGGTAGGTCCTCCTCGCCCCAGCCTCATGGATATAGTCTTATTCCCTAATAGTCCTGAAGAATGTGAGTCCCTCCCTCACTCAACATTTCCCTCTCTCCAGGACTCTGATGAACAAGACCCTCAGGAGGTGACATACGCACAGTTGGATCACCGCGTTTTCACACAGGGAAAAATCACTCGCCCTTCTCAGAGGTCCAAGAGACCCCCAACAGATACCAGCGTGTACATAGAGCTTCCAGATGCTGAGCCCAGATCTAAAGTTGACCACAGTCAGGCCTTGAGGGGGTCCTCCAGGGAGACAACAGCCCTGTCTCAAACCCAGCTTGCCAGCTCCAATGTACCAGCAGCTGGAATCTGAAGGCACGACTCTACATCTTAGGGCGTCGCTCTTCCTCACACCACGAATCTGAACATGCCTCTCTCTTGCTTTCCAATGTCTAAGGTCCCCACTGCCTGCTGCAGAGAAAACACACTCCTTTGCTGAGCCCACAATTCTCCACTTCACTTGACCCCTGCCCACCTCTCCAACCCACTGGCTTACTTCCTAGTCCTACTGGAGGCTGCAGTCACACTGAGGAACTCACAATTCCAAACATACGAGAGGCTCCCTCTTAACACGGCACTTAGACACATGCTGTTCCACCTTCCCTCATGCTGTTCCACCTCCCCCCAGACTATCTTTCAGCCTTCTGTCAGCAGTGAAACTTATAAATTTTTAAAAATAATTTCAACGTAGTTGCCTCTTCTTCAAATAAACATGTCTACCCTCCTGGTTTCAGTAATGTGACTCTTTTCTTGCCGGAAGTTTCCGGTGTTATCATCACTATGTCCATGTAACCCCATCTGTCCTCCACTGGGTTCTCACCCCTGGACTCTGAGCTTCTGGAAGCAGGTGGAGCCTGATTCGTCTCCAGGACTCCAATTTCATCCAAAAATGCAGCACATAGGAGGTTGCAAGGATCGTGAATCAGATGAACAAGTGATATTCTTACTCTCTGCACACCTGGAAAACTGGCAGAGCCATTCCAAGATGAAACATTTGTAGAGTCACAGGCCTTGTTAGTCTCATCTCCACGGGGACACATGTCCACACATCATCTTTCATACCATAAATACACAGTCGCTCCTCTAGATCTGTGGGGTTTACAGGTGTTTATTAAACCAACTATAAATAAAAATATTCAGAGAAAATATACAAAGTTTCAAAAGCAAAACTATGTTGAATGGACACAAATGGAGTGGTATGTATGCTGTGTCAGGAATTATAAATAATCTAGAGATGATTTCACGTATACATGAGGGTGTGCATGGGTTATATGCAATTGCTATGACTTTTTTGTTTTGTTTTGTTTTGTTTGTTTGTTTGTTTTTCGGAGTCTCACTCTCTCACCCAGGCTGGAGTGCAGTGGCGCGATCTCAGCTCACTGCAACTTCCGCCTCCCAGGTTCAAGTGATTCTCTTGCCTCAGCCTCCCCGGTAGCTAGGATTACAGGCACGTGCCACCATGCACAGATAAATT